TTTTTGTATTATAATTTTGCAGAACTTTGTGTATGCCATGTATCAGAAGCTATTAACTGAGCAACGACTGAAGATCATTGTTATGATTACACAAGGTATTTCTTACAGAGATATTGCTGATCAAATGAAAATTGGACTGTCAACTGTTACCAGAACAGCCAGAAAAGAGAAAGACCGGTACAGTGGCAGACTTAAAGCGTGTTGGACGACCTTGTAAAACTACCACAAAAGCATCGGCTTTTGGTTCGGGCAACTTTGTCCAATCGTTTTGCCATGGCTTCAGATCTTGCAAGCTACATGGGGAAAAACCATGAAGTTCATCTAGCAGCAAGGATAGTTAGAAAATGCCTGCAGCAAGCTGGTTTGAATGAGAGAATTGCTGTTAAGAAGCCTTTGTTGCAACCTGATAACATCGCAAAAAAAAGAGCATTCGCGAAGATGCACAAAACCTGAACTGTCGCACAATAGAATAAAATGTTATGGAGTGATGAAAGCACCTTTACTGTTTTCTGTGTAGCTAAAAGAGCTTATGTGAGGAGAAGAGTTGGTGAACGATTTAGTCCTTTGTGTGTAGCTCCCACAGTAAAGCATGGAGGAGGCTCTCTTATGGTATGGGGTTGCATGTCAGGATCAGGTGTAGGTCATTTATTTCATTGTAGAGGCACGGTAAACCAGGATAAATATTTGGAAATATTAAAAACACAAATGAAACCATCAGCAAACAAACTATTTGGTAAATACAAATCATTTTTCTTTCAACAGGGCAATGCTCCGTGCCACGAAGCTAAGAAAGTAATGGAATATCTCATATGTGCTCGTACCAATGCTATTGAATGGCCTTCACAAAGTCATGACCTGAACCCCATTAAAAATTTGTGGGAGGAGCTCTTCAGAAAGGTACAGAAAACTAAACCCAGCAATCTGGATGATTTGTGGCAACAATTGCAAGTTGCATGACTAGCAATCCCTGTTGACACCATCCAAAATCTGGTACAGTTTATGCCAAGACATGTACAGGCCGTGCTCGATGTGCATGGAGGGCATACAAAATACTAGTCTTTTAGTCAGAATTTCTTATGTTTTATTAGTGGCGCTTATTACTGACAATGCAGAGTCATTTTTATTTCAATGTGGTGCTGTTTTATTTTATATTGTGCCAAAAATGAATAAAATTCTCTTGTTTTTCAACTGTGTTCATGACTTTATGCCGCTACTGTATATATATATATATATATATATATATATATATATAATATATATATATATATATATATATATATATATATTTATAT